AAGAAATCAAAAAATATCCATGCTTTGAAGTGGAGAAATATGAAGGCAAAATGTTTGTGAAAATTTCACAATAGAGGCAAGTATGAAGAAATCAAGAGATACATTCAATGAAAGTTGGCAATTATGATGATTTTGCTATCAAGGTGGAGATTGTTGGTTTTGGTGATAGCTAAATCACCATACCCATATTTCTTCTAAAGGTTAAGGTATTATGAGAAATAGAAAATTGACTTTTTGGGAAGCAAGAAAATGATATCTTTATAAGAGAGTGGAGAAGAACATAATACCCATCCTTTGAGGGTTACCCCTTTGGAGGTTATGGGAATGGATCTCCAATATGGAGATATGTCTCTAAGAGAGGGAGATATGACTTCTGAGAGAGGGGTAATATTATCATCAGTTTTGGGTTGGTTAGCTTCTACTTTTAGAGAGAAAATTTTTATGTTGCTCTCGAGGTTATCTTTCCGGTAGCTGTATTGCAATGGGAAAGATCATGTTGATCGACGAAATTGCTCGGTCTGGAGAGCGGGTTTAGAAGGGAAGATCGGTGATGGTCTTTTACCGATTTAGAAATATGTTTTATCTCTTGTAACCCAAAACTGTAATCTTTGTTGTGATAGTGGATTTCTAGTTGCCGAGGCCGTGGATATAGCCCTATGGGATGAACCATGTAAATCATGGGCAGTTGTGGTGTGCTTTTTATATTTGTTTATTTCTCGCACTCAATCTATACTTGTATTCACTTACTTCGCATTTGGCCAATTGAGTACACAATCTTAGGTGGGATCCCAGTATTTGGGATTCTCGATTTCGCAAGCTAAGGGATTGTCGAGATCCCTACAGCTATGATATTAAAAATATTATTTAATGAAATTGAAATTATATAATGGAATTAAAATTATGCAATGAAATTGAAATTGTTGTTTATATTTTATAATTATTTTACTAAGATCAAATCTAAAATGTCTTATAATATCATCAAATTTAAAAAATCTTATTTACAACTATAAGAAAAATAATACATTACATAATTATAATGTAAATAAATAAATAAATAAAATACAAGATTTGGTTATCAATATATAACTATTAATTATAATATTATAGTAAAAGTGATTAAAAAATTATTAGAAAAGGCTTCATATCATATGATTAAAATTAAAAATAAAACGGCCAATAAATTCTAATGTTATTATATTAAAAAATTCAAAAAAGCTTTACCCAAAAAAAATGAAAAAAAAAGAAGTCAAAATTCAAAAAAATAAATAATCCTATTGACAATATGCACAATAGCTACAAAAAAAATAAAAATAAAAATAAAATATTGTAATGAAACCCATTGAAAAAACTATTTTTTCAATAAATAGCAAAAAAATTTATATGGCCGTTTTTTAATTTGACACACTAATTTAATCAGTCCTATTAGTTTTTTTTGAAAAATTTTATCTGGCCATTTATTAGTGCTATTAATTTGACACGCTAATTTAAAAACTATGGATGCTAAGCGTATGGATATTGGCTTGCAAAAATTAATGGCTTGGAAAAATTTTATATCGACGTTTATTCTTAATATGGACGATGGTTTGCACGCTATTGAAGGCAACAATGGGAATTGTCCAGTATCGAAAATATCAAGGAGCTTTCAAGTCTATAAAAGACGTGAGGATGAGTACTTCATCACCGTTCGAGTGAACGGGACTTGGGGCACATGATTGTGTCCAAGACTGATGTCGCAAATTACTTTCATTTTGAAATCAGATATTGCACAAATTATCTTCATTTTGAAATCAAATATGGCAATTATCCTTGGAAATGTCATGACGTATTTCCCTTGAAAACGTCATTTATCTTCATTTTGAAATCAAATATGGCAATTACCCTTGGAAATGTCATGACGTATTGCTCTTGGAAACGTCTTTACTGAGTCATGATGTCACCGCACGCAAATTACTTTTATTTTGAAATCAAATATCGCAATTATCTTTGAAAATTTGCAAATAACGCAAATTACTTTCATTTTGAAATCAAATATCGCAATTACCTTTAAAAATGTGCAAATTACCTTTATTTTGAAATCAAATATTGCCCTTGGAAACGTCATAGCCGAGTCATGTTCATTTTGAAGTCATATATTGCACAAATTACTCAATTATACACAGTGTATCGCCTAGTTCTATAGTAGAATCGATACGATTCAAAATATCTGTTGACTCGATGATTTTTAAATCATTGGAAGAATATATTATGGGAATTGAATGGTCTAGACTGGTTGTTATCTAGGTCGAGTCATTTTGATGTGGATTAAAAAATTTTCAAAAACTCACAAAAATCGCTTGAATAATCTCCCCATTTTTTAAAATTTTAATTTTTTCCTGTTTTTTATATGAAGTTCTTACCCTCCTCTCAAGAATCGCTCGTCATACGTGGCAAATCCAAATTCAATCACCCACGAGAGCTCAAACGGTTAGCCTCTGCCCTAGGATTTGTGTTAACAAGTAAAGTTGTACCTCAAAACCTAAAAAAAAAAAAAATACAATTCTAACACCGAAAACTGATAGAATTTGAAGTCCCAAACCAAGTTGTCTAGCATTATTTGAACAAATAAAAATAAAATATCTAGTAAAGTGCTATATTGGACGCTATTTTTTTTTTCCAAAATTATTATTATTATTATTTTTATATCTATAGGTGTAAAGGTCGAGATGATTAACTCGAGGCTTCTCAAACACCACAGCTCCAAAGCCCAAAGATATTTGATTTAAGGCTTTAAAAAATCTTAACATGTACTAAAATCTTGCTAGTTAAATACCCTTGTGAAAAGATTTCATACTCCACAAGAGCAAAAAACATTGACCAAAAACCCTTGAAATGATTTGGGGGATTTTGATAAATTTTATTTCACGAATTGTTTATTTAATATTTTTATTAGGTGTGCCTCACTAAGATGTACACACGCTTCAAATTTCAGATCATTCCAATTTGTAGAAAAAAAAATGAAAAATTAAATACTACTGGACAATCATGATCGTGCGATGAACTTTGAACGGCGATGAGGATAGGTAAAATCACGGTTCATTTTCACCGATAAGAGTTGTAAAGACTTTTCTTATATGAACAATGATTTTGTCTATCCTCATTGCCATCTAAACTCCATCATATGGTCACAGTTATTCGATAGTGTTTCAACTTTCATATGTTTTCTACAAATCCAAATTACTTGAAATTTGAAGCATGTGTAGATCTTAGTAAGGCACACCTAATAATAATATGAAAAAAAAAGGGGAAAAAATTCATATAAGGTTGCAACCTTAAAATATAGAATCATAAATGCACCTAAAAAATCTATCAGAAATATTGTTTTAATGTTGAAAAAGCCCTCTAATCAATCATCTCGACAGATCTATGAATATGAAAAAAAAAGTTTTTGAATATCGGAAATACTGCATCTTGGAACTATTTTTGGAATTTAAAATTTTCTTATTAGGTACTAAAAAAGATTTAAGATAATAGTAAGAAATGTTTACAACAAAATTACATGTGATGATATAATTTTAGGGTGCGCTTTAATTGGATTGTTTAATATCGCAACTTTATAGAAACCGTACCCAAAAAATAATTCACAAAATATAAATTGACCAAAATACCTCCGAAAATTTATGGGGTTATTTTGGTCAATTTTTATTTAAGAATTATTTTTTTTCATATTTTTAATTGGTGTGCCTCACTAAGATGTGCACACTCTCCAAATTTCAAATCATTCCAATTAGTAAAAAAATAAAAAATAAAATATTACCAGATAACTGTGACCATACGATGAAGTTTGTATAGTGATGAGGGCAGTGTTTTCAATTTTCATTGTTATATATATATATATATATATATA